TAGAAAAGATAATTTAAAAGGCATTGTTGATTATAATGGCAAAATGTATTTGTTCGGCGGACAATCTAAAAAAATTACTGTAAATGATATGCTTATTTTAGATACAATGAACTTGAATTGGGAATTAGGAAGTTCGATTAATGCGCCTTCTCCACGGGTAGTTTATGGTGCAACTTTATTATCAAATCAGCTAATTCTTTACTTAGGTAGGTAACAAATAAATCTCATAATGAATATGTATATATACTGTTTAAATTTACTAAATATTTGTAATTTAAGGTGGCTCTAATAGTAAAGCACTCGCATCATTAAAAGAGGTAAAGTGATTTAAATATATATATTAAAAGAAAGCATAATTTATTTATTAATAAATCTTAGGTCTACATATATGATACGATTAACGATAGTTGGAGTATTAAAGTAACTTTATTACATTTTAACATAATTATTGTTTTATGATATAAGCATTTTTAACTAATTTCATAAAAAATTAGACATCTTCGGGCACAATTCCTTCTAATAGAGATGCATTTTCTGCTGTTCTTGGTAATTATTCTTTTCAAAAGTGTAATGAAATAAATAAATACCAGTTAATCACATTACTATTATATTTGCTAAACAAGGATTGGATGGGCAGCATGTAATAATTTTTGGAGACATTGATAAATCACAAGATTCACTTTATGTATTAGATTTAATAAAATACGAATGGTACATTCCAAAAATTTTTGGGAAAATTCCAAGTTCCAGACATTGGCATGAGGCAAACGTAATTGGAAAATATATGGTTATATCATTTGGTAAATAATACTTATAATTATGTATTTATTCATAATATAAGTAATTACTAAAATAACCGAATATCCGGTGTTAGTCGCAAATCGTACTGCGCCTCAAACGACCTCACACTGCGGCGATTGCACGTAAATTGTATTCGTTCAATAGAAAGGATACACCAATTTGGAATCCCAATTAAAACTTTATAATTCTGCAATGTAACAAAACTATTACGCATTGTGATCAGACATATAACTTTCGTGCGTGTAAAAAGTATAAATTTTCGTAAATTGTCTGTAAAGTGTAATCATGTCAAAGAACAATTCCATATATATCATTTTGTGGTTTACAATTCAATTATTAATTGAAGTAAATTGCCAAACGACTCCTTTTAATCCATCGCAACGACAAGGTCACACTGCTACACTTAT